TGCATATATGTGCATGCGTACACCAACATCCTCATCCTCCAGAGCCGACTCATAGGGCCCCTCACTGTCGGAGTCTGGTGGCAGCTCCAACGGCACCTGCTGGGCCACAACACATGTACATGTACATATGCATATATGTGCATGCGTACACCAACACCCGTTTGGTATACCTTCGTTTACCTAAACCATTATTGAAGGTTTCTTTGCATTTTTACATTCACAGAATTTTGTTCATAGATATATGTTAAAATAAAATTTAAAAATGGGACCTAACAAAATAAGTACCGTATCAACAAAATATACTACACCGTTGCTTACAGATAAATCACATATTTATTTTGTAAGAGATTTATTAATATTACTTACTTTAACATGACTCTGTGCTCCAAGGTTGTAAATTTCAGAAGGTTTAACTTCGTTGATTATTTTCACTAAGCAAGTACTATCTGTCAAATCACCATAATGCAGTTTCATATCTTCAGGTAAAAAAAAAAAAGAATTAAAATTCATGCCGTGTGTTGCATTCATTTCTATTTATACTTTCCTAATTCCTTGAAAAGTCAGCAGTATAAAGTCTATTCTATTCTGCAGAGAGGCTTATGCATTCTCAGGGCAGAGAGCAGATTGCACGGATGAGTCAGCAGGGAGCCCCAGGAAAGGGGTCAAAGAGCCGCAGGACCCAGCTCATTGGTAAGGCTGACGGTGGGCGGCCCTTGGTGGAGACGTAGCTACTGCTCTGGAGTTGAGAGGGGCGGTGGCAGAGGTGCTCCGGAGGGCAGGCAGCAGCCCCGGGACATTCACCTACGCCTGCCCTCCCGGTGCACCACTGCCACCGCTGCCCTTTCAGCCCCAGAGCAGCAGCTCCATCTCCACCAAGGGCCGCTCGCCCACCCACTGGCTTGGTGGGGCTGGGCACCGACCTTGGAAGGCAAGCATGCATGGGGGACTGCCGGGAAGGCAGCGTGGAAGGCAGGCAAGCATGGCAGGGTTGCGGGGAAGGGAGTAGGATACTGGGTCCCTTCTGCGTGGCCCTGCCATGCTTGCCTGCCTTCCATGCAGCCTTCCACTTGCCTGCTTTTGCAAGCTGGCCACGGGGACCGCCGGGAAGGCAGGCAAGCATGGCAGAGCTGTGGGGAAGGGAGTAGGTTGCTGGCCCCCTTCCACGTGGCCGGCCGGCTCCAACATGCTTGCCTGCCTTCCACACAGCCTTCCGCTTGCGTGCCTTCACAAGCTGGCCACGGGGACACCGGGAAGGCCATGTGTGAGGCAGGCAAGCATAATAGGGATGCGGGCCGCAGGGAAGGGAGTAGGGGAAGCAGGTTGGGACGATGGAAAGCAGAGACTGGGTAGGGCAGGGCGAGCGAGCGGTGACCAGGGGACCGGTTCAGGGGTGTGGCCAGCCAGCAGTCCCTACCGGTTATGCAACCCTGGCCCATTGTCCACTATTGGTTCTCATGAACCGGTACGAACTGGCAGGATTTCACCCCTGCTGCTATCCTAAAAAGTTTTTTTACTTTGCTTTTTTAAAGGGATTAATGGTGATATTAAAATTTCATTTTCTGTTCCAGGTGAAATGAACAAAAATTAACAAAATTATTTTATAAACTATTTTTCAAATACTAAAAAAAAAGGATTGAGACTAGACTAAAAAAAAGACATTCACATAATTAGTCTCGGCGATCAATTTCCTGTCTGATGAAATCTTAATCAAACATTAGCAGTAAAAACAAAAATCACATATGTCCTCTATGCATTTCATCTCGTCTTTCAACACACACTTACTTCCTTCGATGTGAGCCTGGGGGTTCTTGTAGAGATGTTCAATCCGTCCCGTGTTAAAAGAGCTAGATCTACGAACAATTCCGTGTACCTACAATTTAACAGAAGTACAGTTAATATTTCTGATGTAAAGCTTCACAATGTCAGATGTTGTGAGATCAGTTTCGTGATACAGAAGTGTCTGATTCAAATAGAAAAAACAGGGAAGGGCCATAAAAGATCCAGGCGATGCAATGATTCCATGACACAACACTACTGTCCAACATTTTCTCTTGTAAGCTGAGCTCACAAATGGCTGTGCAAAAGCTACTTCATGGAAACAACTGGATGAAAATAATGGCACCCATTTTCTCCATGTTCTTTATCTTTATCTAACGAGAGCCGAGGTGGCGCAGTGGGTAGAGTGCAGTACTGCAGGCCACTTCAGCTGACTGCTATCAGCAGTTCAGCGGTTCAAATCTCACCGGCTCAGGGTTGACTCAGCCTTCCATCCTTCCGAGGTGGGTAAAATGAGGACCCGGATTGTTGTTGGGGGCGGTATGCTTCCTTTTGTTTAGTATTCATATTAATAGCTAATATTTTTGTTTTTCCTAAATTTATTTTAAAACCAGACACTTG